CGGGCTCGTAAGCCGCTTATCTCGAAAACACGTGGACAAATACTCCAGCCATCTACTTTGCGTGGTAGTATTTTTGCATTTCGGACGGGAAATCCAAATCCTTTGGTCAGCAGAACATCGCTTCCTCTTATAAGCTATAGCTTTGCGCACGAGCTACTTCCCTTTTAAAAAATAATTGATTTTTATTTTTAATCCAAGTTTCTGTTATCAAAAACATGTTGGTATTGAGTACCTACTACAGTAATGTGTAAATAGCATAAAGCCTAAATGACATAGATTTAAAAAGTTAGACTGTATAGTTTTAAATCAATGTATTTACTGCTACATTTTAAAATTATTTTAACTATATACAGGGTGTTGCACATTTACGAAATACATGGTGTTTCACGTTTGTGGTCCATTGAAATTTTCTGGGAAACGGCAAAAGATATCAATTTAAAAAATTTAAAGCGTTTATGATCCAATTTAGCCTATTTTTCTAAAATATTTTTAACATCAACTTTGTTATTTCAAATAGAACACCCCCATATATTTGTACATTTTTAAATTCAACATAAAATTTTGAGTAAAATTACTATACCATGTACTGTACAGTACCTAAAATGAATAGTTTTCTAGTTTTCGTGAAAATTTGACAAATGCGCTTCAATCAAAAATGGTTTATAACTTTTTTGTCAAAATTCTAGTATTTGAATTAGTACCGGCATTTTTTACTAATAAAATAGTCGTTTTCACTTTTAAATAGGTATTTTTTACTACGTAAATGGTTAAAGTTTGACTAATTTAAGATTAGTCACCATCTTTGACTATTTCTGAGAGTTAAAAGTAACTAATTTCTTTAATCGTTTGCGGCCAACAACAAAGTATTATTCGAATTAAATGCATATACCTAAGCTCCATGGTTAAATGACCCATGAAAACAAATAAATATGCAAAAAGTTTACCTCAAAACAGCAACACAAATAATATATTCAACTTTAAAATATTATGAACAATATTTATTGATTTTTATAAGAGTGATTGATAGCCACATTGGTTATGACAACAGCTTGACAAGCTTGATAAGCGACAGACCTGAGTTCAATCCCCGGCTGGGTCAAAACTTTTATTAAATTTAAATCTACTGATTTGACTATTTCATTCAGTAGAATTTGACCAATTATAATTATTAGTGACTACTTTTTTGCTATGGCAATTAGTCAAATATGACTTATAATTAGTTATTTTTGACTAATTCATTTTAAGAGAGTAGGGGATAAATTTTTGTAATCTTAAAACAATATTTAAAAGATTACATGTTAATTCTTTACCATTTTTCAAAAAATTACCCAAGAAAACCAAGGGCAAATTGGGCTAACTTGATACGTTAATAACTTTTTTATTTTAAAAGTAACACCGGCCAATCAAATAGTAAATTAATAAAAAAAATTTTTTAGGTTAACCTTTCGATTATTGTACCTAACTATTCAAACATATACCTACATAAGTTAAATTTTATGTAGAATTTGAAATAAAAAAGTCAAACAGAACTGGCATTTTATTAAAAATATTTTAGAAAAATAGACTTAAATGGATAATAATTGCTTTTAAAATTTCAAATCGATATCTTTTTCCGTTCCCCAGAAACTTCCAATAGACCACGAATGTAAAACACCCTGTATATGAAGTGGTGTTTTTAAGGTTGTGATACCAAAGCAATATATAATCGTCAAACTATAGACCAAGATTTGTTTCCAATATAGGTAGGTATATATTGAATATTAGATAAATAAAAACCATATAATTTTTTTTATTAAAAAAAATAAAAATTATTATTTTCTTTAAGTATATTTTTTGTATTAGGTAAAAACATTCGATACTTGAAGAAAAAAGATGTATTACAAAATAGAGAATTAAAAAATCTATTACGATTTTTGACCTTTATTTTCAAAATCAGTTAAAAAAATTTATAGGAGCAAATAACAACCGTTTAAATGATGATATGGAAGCAGTTTTTTACAGTGAAAGTGAAGAGAATGTTTTATGGACACTTCACGGTGGAGTCTCCACCCAAAATTTGTAATGCTTTCAGTTAAATCTAGTTTTCTAAATGCAAAATTAAAACGTCAGTACAAACTTGCATATAAACTTTTCAAATAGGTATTGGCGTTGCGAAACTATTTTATACTTTTTATTTTCGTATTAAGATAATAAAATAATGTCCACATTATTATTTCACAAGAAGGGCACTTTATTTTAACGATTCTATGACATTTGCTGTTGCTAACTTCAGTCAGTGACTAAAAATCATAAAGCCAGAATTTGTCAATGTGTGTTTAAAAGATCAATTAGTGTCATGGAAACATATGGGCGTTTTAAAGGTGGGAGTAAAAAAAGTGTTGAAATCCTAAATGCATAGCCGACTACATAAAAAAATATATTGGAGAGTTGCTTTCAATAGCAATAAAGGTTATCTATCTAAATTTCTAAGCGTGCCACTGAATAAATTACGAACAATTTTATGGCAATAAAAACGGAAGTGGACAGTATATTAAATGTGCTATTTATTACTTTTTATTTGGGTGTGTTTGTTTATTATACCAAAGCCAGACTATTGTGGCTGATACCAATTACACTGGCGTCAGATTTTATTGTTAAACACAGAAGGTGGTCCTCCAATAAATCATAATCATTTTTAATATTTTTATATTATTTATCATCAAGTTATAAGGTATACACTGTTCCGCAGGCCATTTTTTGCTATCTCGTCAATTTTTTAAGATACGTACTTTTGTTGTCAATTTTATTTCTATTCTTTGGTTCCGTTTTACTTATACTTATAAAAGAAGCAAAGATAATTAAAAGATTATTATAATTATCTTTTTATGAAATTAAAACTATTACCTTTGATGCCTCACAAAATGTTATATTAAATTTTAAAAACATTCTAAGGAAACTTTAAATGGAGATGCTAGGTACCTAGAGTATTTTTTTTAAATATTTTTAAAATGTTATTAAAATTAGGAACATCTATCTATAAAATTTTATAAAATTTGAATGCCATACTCTAATTCGATTTTTTTTTATTAGGGGAGTCGATAGACCTACGTCACACGTTTAGGGGGAGAATTCTATTATGCATTATAATTTATGTGGACATATGACATGGGGGGAGGGGGTGTCTGAAATTCACTAAAAAGGTGTGACGTACTTTATGGACGGCCCCTTATTTATTATGAAAAAAACCTATATAGGGTGACCCATTTTTTTGCGACTCACCCCTGTAAAATCATTATTTATTGTGCGATTTTAACCGGATTTGTTTTAAAGCGTAAATCTTAATAAACTGTATTTTTGGAGCAAAAAACGCCATATTTTTACAAAATTCAGTTTTTGAGAGTCAAAATTGAAATAAATATTCCTATGCTTAGTTTTGACAAATAAAAAATGTTTAAAACAACAATGAAACAACAAATAGAAAATTCAAAAAAATCTTTGTCACCTCTACTAGGGTAATACAAGCCTGCGAAGCCATTACTCCAGAACAAATATGAAAGTGTATTAAAATAAATGATGGATTAGTAAAGGTGACAAAAATCTAATTATAGGGAATTTTTGGAATTCTCTATTTTTTGTTTTATTGTCGTTTTAAGTTTCTATTGCGTTTTTTATTTATTAAAAGTAAGCATAAGAATATTTATACCATGTTACTATTAGTATAATTTTATTTCAATGTTTTTTCATGGATAACTTGACAGAATAATTTTTGGTAAATAGTAATTATTATAAACTTATAATTTTGCTACAAAATAGTTCCTACTTAAAATTTTCCAATAAAATTTAGTATAGGTTTGTTTTGAGGGGTGGTAAATCCAGTGCCGTGCGTAGTTTTTTTTAATCGCTTACATGAATTCTTAAAAATTTACTCTAAAAAACTGACCAAAACCAAAAATACAGTTTATCAAGACCTACACTATAAAACAAATCCGGTTAAAATCGCACAATAAATAAACATTTTACAGGAGTGAGTCGCAAACAAATGGGTCACACTGTATAAAAAATATAAAATGTTTTAATATCATTTCGATCTCCAAATAGCGTCGATCGCTAGAAATGTGTTAACGATGGCTAAATATAAACGTTGTTAATATTAAAAATATCAATAAAATAAGTTTTAGTATCAAAAAAATATGTTAATTTTGCCTATAGGCAATATACAACATTTATGTTGAAAATTTAAAGTTTTACATTTATGAACTTCTATTGTATAAATCAGTATCCTAATCCTTAACTAAAAAAAATATTTAAGTTTATGTCAATTATTTTTAACATTATTAACTTTTATTTTACGATATTTTGTTTACATCAAATATGTATGTATGTAAATATCCAGAACATATTTTTAATTTTATAACGGTCGATTAATGAATTATTTTGGGAAACTTTACAAGAGCAAAAAATCGTCATAATCAATGGTTATACCTATGTATTATCAAAATTTGACAACACTGACAACAACAAAAAATTAATGGCTACATTGATGTACAATAATTTACCTTTAAATCTTGTCCATTGGTAGCTGAAGGGAACTGTCACTGAACCTTGCGGAACCCCCAATTCGCCTCTCTAACTGTAAGGTTGATAATTTGGAGTTGGAAACTGCATGTTTTAGAGTTGTAGGAAAACTGAAGTGGGCGCACACACACCAAACGTCGTGTGTGGAGCAAAAACGCTAGACGACGTCCCATCGTGATGCCGCAAAAATAAACTAAAAGAGATGCCTCTTTAGTGTTGACATTAAATTCCTACTTGGCCGCGATTCTTTCCGCGGTCGCGGCTAAAAAAATTGGCGCAAAGCTACCGCCTCACCATGGACGCACGATTGATTTAGGGCGTCGACTTGACGCCCATTGGCGCGTTCGCGTTGGGCGTGTTTGGTCGGAGCGCCGACGCGCAGGCGCGCACACTTGAGGGGACTAATTTCGACGTTCCCGTCTGTTTTCACTAGTAACATTGTGTGCCCGCAAGAAGCAACATTCCCTGTTTTCACTTAATCGCTGTGTAAACTGGCCAATGTTGTGTATCATAATATCAGACGATCGGTATGATAACACGGTAAAATAATAATAGAAAAGTTTGCCGAAGTTGTTTGTTTTCTTAAACTGTGCGGTCACTAGTGTGTTTGTTCTTGCAACTTGCCCACCATGCATACCATCTCCACGACGATATTCAGCGACCACCAGAACGCGTATTATAGATCCGGGGGTGGGTATTCCACCGCCGCCGTCACCCCCAACCCCTACGCCTACGAGCAGTACTCGAGGTACTATTCTCCGGCGGCATGGCATCACAACCAGCACCCTCTCAGCACCGCCAAAGACATGGTCAAGCCGCCATACTCGTACATCGCTCTCATTGCGATGGCCATACAGAACGCCGCAGACAAGAAGATCACCCTCAACGGAATCTACCAGTTCATCATGGAACGATTTCCGTATTACCGCGAAAACAAGCAAGGATGGCAGAACTCCATACGCCACAATCTCAGTTTGAACGAGTGTTTCGTGAAAGTGCCCAGGGACGACAAGAAACCCGGCAAAGGCAGCTACTGGACCCTGGACCCCGACTCCTACAACATGTTCGACAACGGCTCGTACTTACGCCGCAGAAGACGCTTCAAGAAGAAAGACGCGCTTAAAGAAAAGGAAGAAACCATGAAACGCCAACAACTGCACACCGACTCACCTACGCACACCACGAAACGCGAGGAAAAACCCTTGGAAGACTCCAAAAGCAAACTGGAATGCAAACCAAAACGAGAACCCAACACCGAGCTCAACCAATGCAAGTACAACGATCCAAAACTAATCGGGGATTTGGGCGACGTGGCAGCTTCAATTCAAGCTTCGATGGAGTCCCATGCAGCTGCTTTCACAGTCGACAACCTCATGACGTCCCGAGAGCAAGCTCTGTCGTACTCGAACCCGAGATTAACTTCCGGCGGGATGTATTCTTACTGTCCCACCACACCCCAACATCAGTACATAGCCGACGAAGCCGCTCCAAGGTACAGCCCCTGGTACTCCCCGGAAACATCCCCGGAGTCGGCAACCGGCTACAGGGATATAATCTTCGACAGTAGTGCTGCCCCCAGCTGCCAGTTGGCGAGTTTCCGCCACAGCGACATGAGCCCCAGCCCGCCCAACTACCGGAACGCTCCGGGTTACTATCAGCAGGACTGCGTGCAGAAATACTGAGGTTACGCCTCTGGTCCTTATTTGGACCATGTGAACATTAAGACTGATGTGTGAGGATCAGTGCAAGATAAAACAAAAACGTTATGGCTTTAGATAGAAATGTTACGGTAACTTTTAGCTTGTTATTTTTCCGTCGTATAACCATTGGGTAGTGTTTCGTAGCGTCCTCTATCCACACAATTGTCTTTAATAACACTACTTTGGTTTTAATTATTATTATTATTACTACAATAGGGATGCTACTTTTTTCTTTGATATGTGATAAATAAATCATTTGATTGATTTCTTAGTTAAATATATTATATATCTATATATTTGTATATACGATTTGATTACGGGGCCGACCGTTTGTATGATATTTTTTATGTTCCTACTTTTATTATTTTGGCCCGTAGGTTTTCTGCATTTAATATCATTTTTCACGGTGGTGAAAAATGGCATTTATTGAAAATAAATAAAAACATAAAAACAATAATGTGTGAAATGGCTGTACATATTTATTTGTAAAAATTGTAGATGTATTTACTCGTATGTGTTACGAAAAGCACGTATTGTATATTATTTATTGATATTATTAAAAAAAAATAATAAATACACTTTGTGACATTCTATTTGTTTGTTTCATTATCCATACTATATGTCCATATTTATTTTGTCTGTAACACTAAATACCTGTGCTCGGCTGATGTTTGGTTTGATTTCATACATGAAATAATGAATATTGTGAAATTTTTTAAATATATTCAGATAAATCTTTTTAAATTCAATTGTTCATAGGCAGTATCTGGAAAATTAAAAATGATGGAATTTATTTTATTATTTTGTTATGAATAATTTTATTTAATCATCAAATTAAATCTTCTACTTTTTTTCTGAAATCAGTTTGTATACCAATGGAGTCGAAATTAGCACACATTTTTAGATTAAAAATCGTTTTTGAATTGATGTATAAAAGTGATCAGGTGCAAGGTTTACTATTCTCTGAATCATTTATCTTATTCCTTTCATAAAAATCCTCAATTTAAGTTTAATTCTATGCTTTTTTACCTGCCTAATTCGAATTTTATATAAAAAATGTTATATCAACTTTAATTTTTAAGATATTTAAACTTCCGTTAACTTCAAAGATATGGTTAAGCCGCCATACTCGTATATCGCTCTCATTGCGATGGCCATACAGAACGCTTCGGACAAGAAGATCACCCCAACGGAATCTATCAGTTAATCATGAAACGATTTCCATATTACCGCGAAAACAAGCAAGAATGGCAGAACTCCATACGCCACAATCGCAGTTTGAATGAGTGTTTCGTGAAAGTGCCCAGGAACGACAAGAAACCCGGCAAATGCAGCTACTGGACCCTGGACCCCGACTCCTACAACATGTTCGACAACGGCTCGTACTTACGCCGCAGAAGACGCTTCAATAAGAAAGACGCGCTTAAAGAAAAGGAAAAAACCATGAAACTCCAACAATTGCACTCACCAACGCACATCACGAAACGCGAGGAAAAACCCTTGGAAGACTCCAAAAGCAAACTGGAATGCAAACCAAAACGAGAACCCAACACCGAGCTCAACCAATGCAAGTACAACGATCCAAAACTAATCGGGGATTTGGGCGACGTGGCAGCTTCAATACAAGCTTCGATGGAGTCCCATGCAGCTGCTTTCACAGTCGACAACCTCATGACGTCCCGAGAGCAAGCTCTGTCTTACTCGAACCCGAGATTAACTTCCGGCGGGATGTACTCTTACTGTCCCACCACACCCCAACATCAGTACATAGCCGACGAGGCCGCTCCAAGGTACAGTCCCTGGTACTCCCCGGAAACATCCCCGGAGTCGGCAACCGGCTACAGGGATATAATCTTCGACAGTAGTGCTGCCCCCAGTTGCCAGTTGGCGAGTTTCCGCCACAGCGACATGAGCCCCAGCCCGCCCAACTACCGAAACGCTCCGGGTTACTATCAGCAGGACTGCGTGCAGAAATACTGAGGTTACGCCTCCGGTCCTTATTTGGATCATGTGAACATTAAGACTGATGTGTGAGGATCAGTGCAAGATAAAACAAAAACGTTATGGGCCATAACTTATGGCTTTAGATAGAAATGTTACGGTAACTTTTAGCTTGTTATTTTTCCGTCGTATAACCATTGGGGAGTGTTTCGTAGCGTCCTCTATCCACACAATTGTCTTTAATAACACTACTTTGGTTTTAATTATTATTATTACTACAATAGGGATGCTACTTTTTTCTTTGATATGTGATAAATAAATCATTTGATTGATTTCTTAGTTAAATATATTATATATCTATATATTTGTATATACGATTTGATTACGGGGCCGACCGTTTGTATGATATTTTTTATGTTCCTACTTTTATTATTTTGGCCCGTAGGTTTTCTGCATTTAATATCATTTTTCACGGTAGTGAAAAATGGCATTTATTGAAAATAAATAAAAACATAAAAACAATAATGTGTGAAATGGCTGTACATATTTATTTGTAAAAATTGTAGATGTATTTACTCGTATGTGTTACGAAAAGCACGTATTGTATATTATTTATTGATATTATTAAAAAAAATAATAAATACACTTTGTGACATTCTATTTGTTTGTTTTATTATCCATACTATACTTCCATATTTATTTGGACTGTAACACTGGATACCTATGTGTTCGCCTGATGTTTGGTTTGTTTTCATACATGAAATAATAAATATTTAAATATATTTAGATGAATCTTTTTAAAATAAATTGTTCATGGGCAGTATGTAAAAGTGATTAGGTGCACGGTTTCCTATTCTCTGAATCAATTATCTTATTCCTTTCATACAAATCCTCAATTAATGTTTTAGTATATGCTTTCTTAACTGCTTAATTCAAATTTTATATAAAACATGTTTTATCAACTTTAATTCTTAAGATATTTAAACTTCAAATGCCTATCCAGGGCCTTTTAGGAAAAACTGTGGATAACCTTAAAATTATAATAAAAGTATAGTTGGAAGCAAACTTGAAGGTTTATAAATATCATAATTGTAAATTCTGTTTGACATATCTGCCATTTATGTGTGCAAAGGCGTAAATAAATATTAAACGAAATACATACATAGATTTACAAACATTTATTTTTTAATATTTTTACTACTTTCAAAATATAAAAATGTACAGTATAAACTATATTTTATAGTATTTACTATTATGGTTTTGTATGTCAAAAGAATAAAAAATCACTGTAACTTCAACCCCATATTTTTTCAAATGGGAAATTTTCTTTAAAATGGCAATTCGTTTTTTAAATTAAATTTTGTGCTGTGGGTTGCCGAGAAATTTAATTTAGTTTTATTGATTAGTACTTACCGTATCTTATTAACTATTGAAAATGTCCGCCGTTCACCTCTATACAATAGAACAGCAACTGTTCAAAGTTGTGTAAAGAATATCGGCCGTAATTTGTTGGCATTTATTATTGATGCGGTTCCGTAAATCTTTTAAGGATTCAGGCTGGGTGGCAAAAATTTTGGATTTCAGATGTCCCCAAAAAAATCAAGAGGAGATAAATCCGGTGGTCTCGCGGGCCTTTCGATAGCACTTCTTCTCCAAATTCATCTACCAGGAAATGTTTAATCCAGAAACTGCCGTACATGAAATGCAAATTTGCTGAAATATTTATACCGATAGTCCCTACCCACTTGGCAAGAAATGTAACAGAAACCCTAAAAACGTTTTCGTACTGTTATATTTTAAACACTCAAATTTAAACGTTCCTGTATTGTATTCTGAACGTAAGCATAATGATGCCTACAAGCTATACAATACCTAAACGTTACTGTATCGTTTTACCTTTACCCTAACACATTTACGTTGTGATGACTCTAATTTTATAACGTTAGTGTATTGTTAATATATCTACGTTAATGAAGCGGTATATATGCTAACTGTTAATTCCTAAACGTATATGCAACGCTAATTCATCAGCGTTATTGAATTGTTAATAAATTTACATTAACTAAACGGTACATAATTACTGTTGATTCCAAAACGACAATATAACGTTATCCTGCCGTTCATTAAGAACGTTTCTAGAAGGTTTATAAATGTACATTTATTAAACGTTACATATTGATATTGAAAATTTAGAAGCAATGCGCAGCCGCCAAAAAACCAAGCCAATATGTCTGTTTGGCGTCACACGTGTTGGGCGTTTGTTTGTTTGTTCTTATTATTCACGGTTATTATTATTTAAACAGCACGGTTTTGCTTGGACAATGGAACAAAATAGAAAAAACATTGAGGTGAGTAGGTACTATTTACTCTTGTGTAATTGCTTAGGTATATTCCATTGCAAAACATTAATGTAAATCATACTTACAAAAAGTTTTAACTACTACTATTTATTCTTGTGTAATTGCTTAGGTATATTCCATTGCAAAACATTAATGTAAATCATACTTACAAAAAGTTTTAATGCTTTGTCGATCCTATTTTGCTAAAACAAAAATTCTTCGATTTTCTTTCCTAAAATATTTTGTTGGTGTCATATTTATTTTGAAACAATTATTATTAGAAATATGTAAATAAAAACCACACTGTTAAGAGTTTCCAAGGTCAAATGATGGACTGTCTGACCTGAGCTCATCTCCAGAGATAAACCACCAAGTGCAAGAAGGTACCTAATACTTTAGAGAAATTTTATGAATATTACTAAAGTTTTCATAATTTCAGAGGCAAATCCAATAGAAGCGAATCTAGCTGAGGCAAATCCAGTTGATGCATAAGATGAATTCCCCATTGTTATTGCATCTGATATTGAAACTTGTAAGAAAACGTGTGAGTAAGTCCAGTTCCAATAGTAACTATTTATTTTTTAAGTCACGCGTCATTAATTACTTGATAAATATTCAAACTATACAGAAACTGTTACTAGACAAGATTAACAAACTGGAGCTTTCTGTAAACGTGCAGTATCCGCAGGAGGGAGTCGAAAATGTAGGACCTCAATCAAAGAACTGCCATGCAACACATTGGAACAACTTAAACAACTGGAGAATGTGTTAACTGCGGAAGATGTTTACAATAAATTGGTAACTCTTCTATAGTTTTCTTATATAAAAAAAAGAAATAAAATAAATGTATTATTAATACAAACACATATACATGAGTAACTTTTAAAACTTGATGGTAGATTGAATGAATATGTCTTTTAACTTATTTTCTTTTATGCCTAGGCGCGGTAAAACAGTACTACCCGGCACTAATAATGAAAATATTCGAGAAAAGCGCCATGGATTTTTTCCGTCAAGGAAACCAGCGATTAAAACGGGAAAAAGTTGCAATTGAAAAAAATGCCGTTGAATAATTATTTAAATAATCATTTAAATGACCATGAATGACTGAGAATAAAGAAACCAAAGAATATT